AGAATCTAAAAAAGAAAATATATGTATATGTATAGCTGAATCACTTTGCTGTGCACCTGACACTAACACAACACTGTAAATTGACTATATGCCAATAAAAATAGTTCAAAAAATTCTGTTCCGTTTGCAAGTTTCATTTATTCTAAACTACTTGTCTCATAACAATACATGTTAGAAATGTATGTTCTTTAAAAAATTTTCCATTTCACTTTTTCCTGTGAACAAATGGACTAATGGCTACACAAAATACATCATTGAAAAGTGGTAAAAGAAGGTTTTGGTTTGAAGTAAGTGATTTATTTAAATTCAAAACAGTTTACAGAAAAGAAAACAACAGGAAAAAAAAATTTTTTTCTACAAATAATATTGACTTCTCTGCCTTTTAAAAAAATTATGAAAGGATGCTGGTGTACTTGGCACAGTCTTTAGGGAAAAAGAATGTGTGCACTGACCACTGAATATTCACTTACCTGCTATACTGGTGAGAACTGTATTTCTGGGACGCTTTAAATAATCCAAGGACAAAGGAAACTCAGCACTTCGGCGAGGTATGAAGACAGGTGGTTGAAGTGAAGGCAGAGGAGTCTTAAGCTCTAATGGTGATTCCAAAACTATCAGGCTTGAAAATGATGTAATCAAGTCCTTTAAAGCTATAGACACGAATTTCTTCTGTGATAATCATGCATCATAATCTGTAATAATGAAAATTTTTGGATATTCAGAATGATCAAAGAATGTCATTGATCTAGGTAGATCATGCTAAGTCCTGATCTTAAACACATTTCAAGGTAAATGGCACAATACAGAAAATAATATAAATGTAACTATACGTAAATATTTTCATTTAACTTGCAACCACTCAGATGACTGAAAAAAAAAAACCTCTCCCCAGAAGGCAGGCGCTAGTAACTTATCATTTAAGTGAGATATACGAGAACAAATGTAAATATTGGTTTATTCTAATATTCGTTACTGTGAGATTCTAATTAATACACAAACATGTGATCTGTCTGCTTTTACCAGCCAGCAGCAACCTTCAGTATTTCCAAATGTGTATACAATGTTACAGTCAAACCAGATATACTGTTTCCCAAATATGATCTGCATACTTCCTCATCTCTGTACCTTTGTTCAAGTTTTGTCTTCTTGGAATACCCTTAACACAGCCTCTGCAGATGACATCTTACCTTCACAGAGCCCCCACCAAATCCCTCCAGCTGAGAACGTAGTTTCTCTTCATCCTCCACATACTGCACCCTCTCTGAAAGGGTGTTTGTGTGATCTTCCAGCTGGTCCATTCTGGATTGTGTACCTGCTTATCTTCCATGATTCAAGGTCCCTTGAAAGCAGAGCCTCTGTCTTGTTTATCTTTGGATCCTTCCCACCCCCCGCCCCAAAACAAGTAGCCTAGAAACCTGAATATAAAGGTAAGTAATTTGTTGAAACAAACTAAATAAACAAAAAGGAAAATATTAATGTCTGTGCTTTATACAATCATTTTTTCCTCATATATAGTAATAAACTACCAACAGAAAGTTCTAGTTCAAATCAAATCTTCAAGGAAATCACATTCAGTCCTCCTACCTTCTCTTTTCCCCTTATTTTCATGTCATTAACTAAAGTGTCAAAGTCAGCTGGTTCTTATTTTTTAATTACCTGAACTGCTATTAAACCAGTGTCTAATTCTACAAACCAGAACTAAATAAGAAATTATTTGAAAGATGTGCATACTTTTAAAAATGGAAATCTTAAAATTACTTGGCATCAATCGAGCCCACAATTCTAACAATTATGTTAATATGAATGGTCTCTTACCCCAGAACCCACTTAAAGACTAATTTGTTCTATTTCAACAAATTACCGTATTGAGTTCAACAGCTGCACAACCGGAATCCTGTATGCCTTCACTGGTTTCTCCATAGCTTAGGTTTTATCTCAAAGAAACCAGAGTATTCGGACTCCAGTTGAGACTGTTCTCAATGCTTTTACCTGCAATGAAACTATTTCATACCATCGTGTAATACTGATTTCCTCTGCTGTTCACTTGCATCTAGATTAGTTAATTCAGCTCTTCTTAATTCTGTGTACAGAGAACACTCTATCTAAAAGAAACCTTAAATATTTTCAGCCAAGACCTAGCCCGTTAGGAAAATCTACTCAAGGGTGAAAGGGAGGAACCTTTCTATGCAAGTTATGTTAGAAATGATTTAAGTGTATGCCCTCTGAGAAACAAAACACAAATGGAGATTTTAAATATTTTAAGCCTTGACTGGTTTTATTCAGTATTTCTTTGTAAACTAGCCTTGATTTAATCAAGAATAATTTTAAAAAATGGCATCTATACACAAACATATCTTGCTTTACTGCACTTCACTGTACTATATTTTGGGCTTCCCTTGTAGCTCAGATGGTAAAGAATCTGCCTATAATGCAGGAGACCGGGGTTCGATTCCTGGGTTGGGAAGATCTTCTGGAGGCAGGCATGGCAACCCACTTCAGTATTCTTGCCTGGAGAATCCCATGGACAGAAAAGCCTGGTGGGCTACAGTGCATGGGGTTGCAAAGAGTCAGACACAACTGAGTGACTAAACCACCAAAGTACTGTACTTGACAAACACTGCTTCCCCCCCACCCCCGGCTCCCAAATTGAAGGTCTGTGGCAACCCTGCATTGTCAGATGATGGTCAGCATTTTTCAGCAATGAAGTATTTTTAAATTAGGGCATATAAGTCGTTTTTAAAGATAATGCTTTGGACACTTAACAGACGCAAATATCATGTACACTAACTTTTATATGCACTGAGAAACCAAAAAATTCATATGACCGCTTTATCACAGTGCTGTGGAATCACACTCGCAGGATCTCTGAGGGTATATTTGATAATGTCAAAGTTCTACCTAAAATTTATCTTGGAAAACAACAACAAAAACCCAGATGGTTAAAAATCACTTTAGTCCTTCGGGAGAAAATAGCTCAGTTGGTAAAGAATCCTCCTGCAACGCAGGAGACCCGGTTCAATTCCTGGGTTGGGAAGATCCCCTGGAGAAAGGAAAGGCTACCCACTTCAGTATTCTGGCCTAGAGAGTTCCATGGCTGAGTCTCTAGGGTCTCAAAGAGTCGGACACGACTGAGCAACTTTCACTTCACTGGAGAAAATATGGAGCAACTCCTGCCATACACATTTGCACAATGTTATTAGTTTTGCAACAGAGTGCTACTACATTACTATGTATTTAGTCGCTCAGTCCTGTTCGACTCTTTGCGACCCCATGAACTGTAGAACGCCAGGTTCTTCTGTCCAGAGGGTTTTCCAGGAAAGAATACTGGAGTAGGTTGCTATTCCCTCCTCCAGGAGATCTTCCCAACCCAGGGATCAAACCCAGATCTCCCACATTACATGCAGGTTCTTTACCATCTGAACCACCAGGGTAGTACTAGGTGATTTTCTAGTAAAGCAAGGTCTTAATATGAACCTCATCTCTTTGATGTCTGCTGATTAGTACAACCCTACTTGATTTCAAAAGCTAACTCAAGTTCACTTGACATTTAAATTAATGCAACAAACTTACTGTGCCCTCACTTACTGTGTGCCCCTTCTCTCACCCACCCCCAAACTGGAGGAGGTCACATCAACTTCTGCCCGCAAAACCATGTCTTTCAAAGTTCACATTCACTCTCACCGAAGTCAGCATGGGCAAATTAAGTTTTAAGCCTTTCCAAAAATTAATATATCTTTGTCTGGTCTATGAAACTCGATGGAACAAATATGTGGGGAGAATTTTTTATATATATATTTGAAAAGCCAAGGCAAAAGTCCCAACATCCCAGGCTTATAGGAAAGTATAAAATTTAGAATTTTATTTGATATTTAAAAAATACATTTGACAAATCCACTTTTAAAATGAAAACTGAAGTCAAGTACAATATATTCTGGTAAATACACTTTAGTTTTTTAATTTGGTCAGTGCAAGGAGAGACAGACAACTCATAAATAAATAAACTGCTTTAGTAAAACCCAGGAGTTCACCTGTTACCACAGCTCCCCCAAAGATTAGCTTAACCCAAATACAATTCAGTAAGTCTTATCAAAGAGATGTTTAAAAAAAAAAAAAAGCCATAGATCTCCCTCAACATTCTTGGGCTTTCAATAAGAGTAAGATAAAATGTTATCATCAAACTTTTAAAGCATCCTAAAAAAACCTCAAGGCAAATTACAAGCATTATTTAAGCTTCAAGGCAATCTTTTGAGGGTAGCCAACTTAGAAAATAGCAAGTAACTCCATTTTTAACGAACAGACTTTAGAATACAAAGAAAATCTACAAATCTTTTTAAAACTAGAAGTTATAGATTCCCAATATCTGAAATAATCCATCTATATACACCAAAACTCACCAAACTCACTCACCCACTCCATGCCATTAACCTCATTGTTCTGCAGTTCTTATATCCCACACACACTTATGGCTCCAAACAGATGGCAAACAATTTGGAATGCGATGCTCATAACACAACAAAGTTAACTCCATTCCCCAGCCTCGCACACTCCACAGACCAATCAGAAAGACAGACAAACTAAGCAGTGAAAACAGTTCACACAAAAGGGGGAAAAGGTAGGAAAGCACACATATTCCAGAAACTGCAACAATTTCTATTTCAACAGACTGTGGTTTGCAGGATGTATATGGTAAATAGTAGGAGAGGAAGTAAGAGATCAACATTAAGATGACTGAAACACAGCAGAATTTTTAGCACAGAGGCACAAGACACTAGCAGAAATGTGGAGGTGGTCTAGAGGAATGGGTAAAACATGGGAAATTATTATACCCTTGCTTATCCTAACTAAGGCAACAATGATATTTTAGAGAAGATATCTGGCATCATTATAAAAATCAATATCAAAATTAGAACTCAAAAAGCAAAACAGATATTTTTAGTTTACTGCATGCTTAAAGTCGGGAAGGAAAAGAGGAAATTTGCTTTGGGATATTTATACGGCTGATGTACCTGTTGGGCATTCAGGTTGATGTCAAAAGTGTTAAGGATAGTGAGGTGTAGGTTTCGAAATCATTTACAAGGTGGTAATTAAAATTTCTACTTGAAGCTGGCAGAGTATGAGACGGTTCGATAGTGTCACTGACTCAACGGACATGAGTCTAAGCAAACTCCAGGAGACAATGAAGGACAGGGAAGCCTGGCGTGCTGCAGTCCATGGGGTCGCAGAGTCAGACAAGACTTAGCGACTCAAGAGCAACAACAAATTAAAGTTCACCAGTGAATATAAGAATGTATTTTCTGTGGTTCTGACAGAAAACAGAAATCACTCCCTTATTCGTTAATTTTTCCATTTACACTCCCAAGCACAAGGGATGGGGATTCCCAACCTTCTTGTAAATTTGAGTATACAACCATAACGTTGAAAAGTCAATGAAGTGATTTTTAGGGGTACTTCGTCTAACGTCAATGATTAAGACAGTTCCCCAACAGAAAAACATTTTACAATAAAAAACCAAAACACTTATTTGCAAAACATATTCAACTGCCACCTAAAACTTTCTTCAAGCAACAAAACCCCACTCCAAAGTAAGTAGCAAAAAGACACTAATTTAAAACCAAAGCCTGGAACGCTCTTTTGAGAGCAAGAAATGGAAAAACAGAACTACAAGTTAAGATAAATTAAGAAATTAATATGTATTAATGACAGATTTCAAATATTAGGAAAATCATTCTGAGTCTCTTTTAGGTCAGTGATGCTAGTTCAGTTTTCTCTCTCACTACACATTACAGACATCTGACAAGTAGCCTGTCAGCTGGTATTGAATTATGGTATTCTCAACCCAATTCTGAATAGTGTACGCCTCACCTTCTGATACACAAATAACGACTGCTCCTTCCGCACCTTTCAGGAGAAGTTTCAGCATGATTATGCCTAAAGCTATTCATCAATATTTTCTTTTCCTTAACCACCAGTGCTAGAATAATTGAAAGAAAATATTGTCTCAGTCTAGTCCCTGCTACACTTGAACTTTTAGAGTAGTACCACGCTTACAGAGTTGTTATTTACTAGTGGACAGAAGGTCACCAACACACGTAGTCCTCAAAGAACAGCTTGATGCCAGGATGTTCCAGATATCCATCACTGACAACAGACACTGAGTAACAAAATAAATCCTTTAATAGGCCTCCGATTTCTACTTACTAGTTTTTGAAACGGCAGCGGCCTCAAACAATAGACCTACTTTGTATTGGGGGAAAAGTAAAATTTCTCAAGTATTTGTGGTTCAAGTTTCCCTAGGGCTAACCCTCAATCTGATCCTACTGCCTGATACCTTCCTACCATCATGAGCTTACAATCAGAGTCGCTACGCAAAACGCGCAGAACGACGGAAAAAGAACAAACCTCTCTGCTGATTTTTTTTTTGGGGGGGGGGGGTACGGGGGTGCGGCGGGGATGGGAAACAAAGCGGCGAGGGCCCCAGAGTGACTGTCTGGAGATCCCTGCAGTCCCAGGCCTTCACCCCCGCGCGGCCGGGCCGGAGCCCACTCCGAAGGCCGGGAGGCCAGGCGCCCAGCGTCTGCACACCCCCGCCCGGGATTGGCCCGGCCCGCAGTCACTCAACGCCGACACGTCAGGGCAGCAGCTCCCTCCCTCCTCCCGCCCCCTTCTCCCCGCGCTTGGCAAGAAGAGCGGGCAACGTGGAGCGGGAACAAAGGACCCCGCGGCCCACGGCGATCGGGAGCGCGGTGCCACCCTACCCCAGACCCGGGAGCACCGACGGGGCCCTGGGCCGGCTCCCCGCCCACAGTGGCCGGGTCCTGCGAGGGCTCACGGGAGAGAACCCAGACCCGGGGCAGACACCTCCACACACACTAGGCGGGGTTCCTGACAGCACAAACGGAGATTCCCGCGCCCTCCTTCCGGAAGATCTTGACCCAGGCCCCCTGAGGACCCCCTCAACCCAAAACTTCTCGTCCCTCTCGTCCTGCTTCCCCGGCCGCAGCGCTCTCCGAGGCGGCCCGCTACCCGCCTTTGGCCACTGACGCGATCGGGCAACCACGGCAGAGCCGGGAGCGCGGGGTCCGCGCGGCGCCGGCTCCTCGTCCACAGAGAGCAGCGTCTGCGGCGTCTTGCCGAGTCCTGCCCCTCTGGGGCCCGGCACCGCTCCCCGCCTCCCACCCTAAAACCCCAGCCGCCCGCTCCATCCGCCAGGTCGGAGTCTGGCTGCACGCTGCCCTTCCTCCCCCGGTGGGACCAGCGCAGATTACCTGGTTCATCTCTGAAGAGATGAAAAAACTCATCTCCGGAGCTTCAACGGGGAACAGGAGGAAGCGGGCGGGAATCGGCCCAACCGAAAGCGCCTCGATGTCGCGAAGGGGGGAGCGACCGACCCAGGAGGGGACGAGCGCACAGCCCCGCGGAGTCTGTGAGGCGACAGCGCACCGGGAATTCGCCGAGACCCGCTTGCTTGCTCGCTCGCTCGCTCGCTGGCACAGCCGCGCTCGAACCGCAAGCGGCGAAACTGCACGGCAGCCCCGAGCGACCGCCCTCCACGCGCGTCCCGGAGACACTGCCGCCGCGGCGGCCCGCGCGCGCCGCACCCCCCTCTCACGTCACCACGTGCGCCGCCCTCGCCTGGGTCTCCGCAGCCGCCAACGCCTCCCCGACGCTTCCGGCTAGAGAGCCGGCAAATGACCGGCGAGCGCAGCAATATCGCCCTCGAGGCCCCGCCCACCGCTGGCTCCGCCCCCGCCGCCCCGCCCTTCTCCCCAGCCCTGTGCGGTTCCGTCCTGCGCAGCTCAACTAGGTCAGCGCAAGGTGATCCCTGAGAGAGGGGGGTGCTGCGGCCGCGCCGCCTGCCTTATCACGCCGTCGGCCCTCCTTTCCCTCACGCCCGCACCCTCTAGTCGCCCTTTCAGACAGTGCGGGAACTGGTTCCCTCCAGCCGTCCTCACCTGTTCTGCTGTCCCCGGAGGCACAATAGCTTGACAGATCAGACGTGGGAGATTAGGTTTATTCGGCGTCAAAAGTCCCTGTAGGCAACCGCCCTAGACCGGAGCTGGCCGCAATGGACCTAAGAGTCTGTAGCCGCCCGTCCGCCGTCACCTTTGTCGGTGGTGGTGTGCGGGTAGAGAGCGCGGTGATTGTGAGGAACAACAGGGGCTCGCTGACAAAGAGGGGCGAGAGGATTCAGTCACTTTTGAGAAAACCGTTGGAGAGGTCAGAGAAGACATAGTATTGTATCAGCGTTGCTGTGAAAATCTGTTTACATCTGCTATTCGTTCCCGAGATCTTTTTTTGTCTGAGTGCAGCTCTCCTCTCAGAGACACTGAGTCAGTTCTTTGCTGAACTTGCCCTCTTGGAGAAAGAGAATAACATTGAGAACAGATAGCAACCTTAATTTCCACCGCCCCATCTTGCCCCCAGAAGGCGAACCTGTTAAGGGGAAGGGAGACGCTTGATAGCAACTTCATGTGACTCTGAAGGGCACACTGGGAAGTTTCCTAGATTGAAGGTGAGGGGATTTTGTGAGGTAAACATGTTTAAGAGTTTGGCAGAGGCTTCCAGGTTAACGTCGCGTTAGCTTATCCTGATTTGGCGAGGGCACTTAAGCCATCTACGCCTAGCCTTGTTTGTATCTGATCCCTGAGCTTAATTAGAGGATATTTCTAGGAGCTCTTCATCATCAGTCATCACTTCCTACTACTCTTTATCATTAACTATTCCATATACGCTTATGGGAGCAGAAAAATGTGGGGGCCCTTCATCTGCAATAGAAGCTTTACAACTTTTACTCTAAAATATTGAAGCAAGGAGACGTTTGTTTCCAATTCAATTGTGGGTGGAAACGAGGACCTAAGATATCTATTAGTATGGTTCTTATATGTTTCTAGAGGAGAAAAAGACTGACATTTGCCACTGAGCTCTTGTTTTTGTCTTCAGATAATAATTGACAGCAATGTTCACTTTTATCGCGAATGAAACAGAGTACATACCTTTTACATTCTTTTAATACCATAGACTTCATCCTTCCGGAGGGTATGAACTGCCCACTTCAGGTAGGCACATGACTCTCTGGCCTGCTGTACACACGGTCCATCTTGCTGTACTCTGAACAGTGCCTTTGTGACCTGAAACAGTCAACACTTTCTTGAAGCTCCAGTGTGATCAGTCAATGCGTTTTTGCCTCATGTGGAATTTCACATTAGTGTGGTACCTTCTGTGTGAATAATGACATGATTTATGCACTCCATTTGTCCTCCAGGCAACTCCAGGTTTTAAACCTATCTATCCAATTACTGTATAATCCAGATGAAAATTTAACAGTGGAACCCCGTGGGCAATTTCAGCCTGGGAAAGTAACCAATTATAAGATTTCACTCTATTTTAATTACACAAGATATATTTTAACAGTGTTTAATACAAAGAAAAACTATTGACTTCTATTTTCTGTTATGCACTGAGAACGAAAAATTAGGATTTGGTGCCTACCTGCAATCTTTCTACTTTCCTCTCTGATCCTGCTTTAAATGTTATGGTTGTGTTTTGTTCCTTATGTATTAGTTTGCTAGGGCTTCTATAAAAAAGTACCACAAGCTGAATGCTTAAGCAACAGAAATTTATTGTCTCACAGTCTGTACTTCTAAAGTCACAGTATTTGTAGGGTCCTGGTTCCTCTGTAGGCACCTGAGAAGGATCTGTTCCAAGCCCTTCTCCTGGCTTCTGATAATTCCTTGATCTGTGGCAAAAGAGCTCCAGTCTTCATGACCTTTCCTCCATGTGCCTGTCTCTGTGTCCAAATGTCCTCTTTTTATAAGGATTAGAGGTCCACCCTAACCCGGTATGGCCTCATCTAATTAAGTCACCATTTCCCAATAAGATCATACTTTGAGATATTGAGGTTTAGGACTTTAACACAAATTTTGGAGGGGACATAATTCAACTCATACCACTTCAGTTCAGCGTTTCTCCAGATTTGGTCCACATACACCACATTTATCAAAATAACCTGGATGTTTTATTAGAAATACAGGTTCCCAAGCTTTACCCTAAGCAAGTGATTCTCAAAGGCCTGGAGTGATTTTATTTTTGCCCCCAGGGGACATTTGGCAGTGTCTGGAAATGGGACTGGAGAGAGGTGTTGCTGATATCTAACAGATTCAGAATGCTGCTCAACACCCTGCAATGCACAGGCCAATCCACTGCAACAAGAAAATGATCCCACTCCAAATGTTAATAAAGCCTGGGCTTCCCAGGTGGCACAGTGGTAAAGAATCTGCCTGCCAATTCAGGAGACACAAAAGTGCAGGTTCAGTCTCTGTGTCAGGAAGATCCTCTGGAGGAGGAAATGACAACCCACTCCAGTATTATTGCCTGGAAAATTACATAGACAGAGGAGCCTGGTGGGTTACAGTCCCTGGGGCCACAGAGATTTGGCCACCACTGATCACCACCAAGAAGCTATATCCTAGAACTGCTAAACCAGACTTTCTGGGATAGAGGCCTGGAAGTCAACATTTGACAAGCATCTCAACTACTTTTACCCACACTAAAGTTAGAGAAGCACTTCAGATACAAAATCCTTTTCTTGGAATATATACATGCTCCGTTTTGTTCCAGATATTAGTTACCTCTCTTATTCATTAGCCATGCTAATTATAAGATATTAATATAACTAAATATGACAACTTAGCAATTGCCTGAATTTCTGAGTCTTAGTGTAACATTCATTTTAGATTGGAAAGCTGTTTCTATTTTAAAATTTCTGTTCCACGTTACATTATTTTGGATCAGCCATCTACATTTCTAGATGCCCTTTGTCTAATCAAAATTGTTTTGAACAGAAAACTATTGCTAGTCTCTGGCTTGGCAAAGCAATGTTTTGTCCGCTCTAGTCCACTGGTTTCTCCTGTAGCCAGAATGACTGACTTGTCTCTTTCATGTATTTCTCTCATCCCTTGAAGTAATGCTGCTCTTCTCTCAAATTCTTTCTCTTCTTTACTTTTGGCATTTGAAAATACTCTTAGGGTGTATTAGTGGTGTCTTAAGAGCAGAAACAAGAAAATGGTAGTGTCATAAAAGTCACCAGAAGCACAAGAGAAAATCTTGAAACTTCCATTAAAAGAGATCAATGGAAATTATTATGTATTTCAGTGTATAACAAATTGAGAACTTGCCTCTCTAAAAAATTGTTTTAAGTATTCCATTTTAGAGAATGCTTAGCTGCTCAACCATGTCCGTTCTTTGAGAACCTTTGGACTGTAGCCTACCAGGCTCCTTTGTCCATGGGATTTTTCAGGCAAGAAATATACGTGTGTGTGTGTGTGTGTGTGTGTGTGTAAATATATATATATAATCCAGAGATTATAAAATCAAAATATTTTGGCTCTGCATTATCCTTATTGACCATTACATTATCCAAGCTGTTTTATTAATGATCTTTTGCTAGTTTTCTGAAGTCATCGCTGTTAAAATTTTGAGAACAACTCTAGCCTCCTGTTCCAATGACCAGAATCCCTGGATAGTTTCTTTCTCTTTCAACAGTTTCTTAGGAATTAAAACTTCTCATGTCATTCAGACATATTTTCTGTGACATTATATGACCTTTAAGCCTGCTTACCTCTTTGGACTGTGTGGCCAACAATCATATGTTCAACTCTTGAATTACAAAGTGCAACCTAAGCTTTGGACTTCCCTGGGGGCTCAGACAGTAAAGGGTCTGCCTACAATATGGGAGACCCAGGTTTGATCCCTGGGTCAGGAAGATCCCCTGGAGAAGGAAATGCAACCCACTCCAGTACTCTTGCCTGGAAAATCCCATGGATGGAGGAACCTGGTAGGCTACAGTGCATGGGATTGCAAAGAGTCAGACACGACTGAGTGACTTCACAAGCTTTCTGAAAGTCTCCATCCAAAAAACTCTAAAAAAAAAAAAAATCAATGAAATTGCTGAAAATAAGCAAGGTATAGAGTAAGCAGCCTTTATACTAAGCTGAGTTTTTAATACAAATGTTGAAATCAAATGTATAAATGAAAGAGTGGTAACATATAGCAAAATCTGTACAGTTTGATTCAGAAGATCTTTTGTTGTGTTTGCATCCAGAACTTGACACCTGGTGGCTGAAAGTCACACAACACAGTTCAGCTGGACTAGCCAGCCAACTGTTGCCAGTGTAAACTGATCACTTAACACATGAAGTTAAGAGGCTTCTACAAAAAAAAAAAAAAAAAAAAAAAAGCCAGGAAGGATAGAGCAGTGAGGATATAACATCAGTTCTCCTTTTTTCTATCATGTTTTCTATGTCTGGAGACCAGAGTGAAGTACAATGAGAAAATGATGGAATTTTACAAAATTCTTGTGAACTAGGCTTTCTAAATTACTGAAGAGTCATAAAGTTGTTATCTAAAAAATTCCTCCCTTGAGAGTAATTCCTCATAGCCATCCTTCAAAATTGGCACCCTAGCAAACAGAATGAACAGATAAAGTGTTCTCTTTCCCAATCATCTCTAATGTCCTGCTAGAGAGGAAAATGTGAGGGAAAAGAGATGATGGCAACATAATCTACCAATGGCCTTAAAGGTCACCATGTCTGATACTGAGTGAAGTAAATCAGAGTATTCTTGCCTGGAGAATTCCATGGACAGAGCAGCCTGGTGGGCTACAATCCATGGCATTGCAG